AAAAGTGGTAAACACTTAACAGAGCTACAAATATTGAATTTGAACTATACATTTCAAAAAAAGACTAATGGGACGTCAACAAGTGCATTAGTTAAATTCAATGATTCACAAGACCATAAAAAGCTGAACTCATTGACCCACATATTGCCAATGCAGTGTTTTCACTCTTTACAGACGAAGTGTAGATTGAAAGTGCCGCCCATTTAATCTCAGTTAAATTAATTGAATTGCTATTGCTGTCCCCCTCTCCCACAGCAGTTTAAGAAGACTGTGCTATAAGCAATAAAAAAGCACCCAGGATCACACGCAGTGGAATGTTCTTTCACACAAAATACAAAAAACTCTCATTGATCCTCATTTAAAGCACTATTCTGTGTGTAACTGTGTGCTTTCTCTCTCTTGTGTGCATGCACGTGCACTCGGGGCATTCATGAATAGAGGAGGATGAAAGGAAAAAGCTGAAAAGGTCTGAGCGCTGCGTGGTTCAACGAGACAGTTCAATCTCTTGATCTTCCCTCACTCCCACCCACCCACCCACCACTCTTTTTAAAAAAATCATTTTTCTCTCATACTCTGTTTTTGTCCTGCTTCGATTCAGTACTACCTACAATGCTATTTCTGTGTGTATGTACTTGTGTGAAAAGGAAGACTGGAAAAAACTTGTGACAGCAGTCTGTTCTGATAATATGTCCATCATTTTGGTACAGATTCTGTGTTTAGTCTTTTTCAGTCTGCAGCTATGTTTGGCGACAACATCAGAGCAGCTACATATAACAACTCTATGTACTGTATGTTAACATCATTTTAACAAGTGTGTATGTTTATAACAGCTCGTTAAAAGCACACTTGAACTGGGAGCAAATGAGATTGCAGTCGGGGCAAAAGGGGGCAACTAAAACGGTGCCTGAAGAAAACTTTGGCTGCACATAAAGAGGCATTATTGTCAACTGATCAATGTTTGATTCACTTTACATACAGGTGGGTGCAGTTGCCCCGACACCAACTCAAACATGTTGCAGTTTTTTTCAGAGCACTATTGGTTTGTTTAAACTGTGCTCCATGAGGACACTTTGATTTGGCAGAAGACGTCAACCTACAAAATTAACAGGAATACAGCATGAGAGAGTTAGGCATAAATGTGTACCACATACATCTCAGAGTATAAAAGTACATGTTATATTGGATTTGGAAAGGTGGGTATAATTGGCTTATTTATGGTAGCCCTTTACTTAACCGCTGTCTTTTCTGTGAGCAAGTATTGTTGTTCCAACTAATTCCTCTACAAATATACACAGAAATACAAAAACACCTGTTTCAGCAGTAGACCAATGAAATCTACACCTACTGATCATTTACTACTGTACTTGCAGGTTGGAGCATAAAGCCATATCTGTCACTTATTCATTCAGCTGCGAAACCTCAGCCCAATTACTACCTGAAAATCACTCAGTCTTAACCACACACACACACATACACACTCACTTATATAATTTTCCTTTTTTTTGCCTTACACAGGCAGCAAATCCCCGAGACAAAGAAAAGGCTCCAGCATGATCTAACGTGTGCGTTCATGTGTGTTTGTTTGAGTGTGTGGGTCGCTGTGTGTGCACATATGGCTCAGACAAATGAGCCAAGCTCAGTTAAATGGCTTGTGATTAGGACACATTGGCTTCTAATTGCCTCTCATTACCATTTGAAAGTGAGTGGCGGCTGGAATCAAAGGCTACGGTGGCAGTAGTAAGTGCGTTCAAAGTGTGTGTGTGTGTTTTAGAGTGTACATATCTGTGTGTAGTTACTGGGTGGAACTGTACGCCTGATTAACATTGGCATGACCGCATAATAGAGCGCTATACAGTTTGTTGTAGCCATCACAGAGCCTTTACTTTCACATTCAGAACCACAAGAAAGCATTTTTTTTAAGCTTGATACAAAAATAATTTAAAAAAACTGAACCTGCTATTTATCAGATTAAACCATTCCTGCTACCAACTACAACTACTCCCTCTACTGTTTTCTATATGAAGTTTTATTTCCAGGTTTTTTCCCTTTTAACTCCTTGGTAGCCTAAAACAAGTTTCACGTTTTATAGGTATAAACTCAGCACCTGATTTACCCTGACCCCCTACCTGAATCCCTTCAGTCTACAGGCATGGTAGCTTCACTCTACACTTTTTCTATAAACAACTTCATGCAGTCATCACCCCTCAAGACTTGCAGGCGTTACCTGTCCACTCCTTTTTTTGAAAGACCTGCTGGCAGTTCCATCTTTTCTTCATCCATCTGTACTGTGTGACAGCACCAAACTTGTCATATTTAAGTGCTTGCATCCTCTTAATACCAACTCCCTTTGACAAGTGTCTCATAGAATCTATTTTATGAGAACATTGCAATGGAGAATCTCTAAGACGAACAGTTTCACTGCATTAAGATCAATATCCTGAAGAACTCCAGTATTCCACAGGGATTCAATCTGGGTCCCCTTACCTTTATTATCCTTTGATGTATTTTCTGTTAAGGGGTTAATGCTCTGTTTTACATTTCCTTCTAACCCATTGGTCTACCTCTTTCTATTCTCCAACCTGCAAAGTCTCTTCTGGTTAAGCGCACCATTGCAGTTTAAGTAAGAAAGCTAAACTAAACAACAAAGTCATTACCCTAAGTAAGTAAAGCCTCAAAGTTTGTACTTTTATCTTTCACAGAGAACAGCACTTCAACAAAGTAATATATATTTCTGTTATGATGAAATAGACTAGAGACTGGAAGCAAAAACTGCAAAAATTGTGATTTCCAAAACATCACCTTAAAACCAATTTTAAAGTTTGTCAAGGCTTTTTTTTTGTTTTGCAGTGTAGTGCCTACAGTATAAAAAGCTTTCCAATGCATGTTCAAAACTGCAGCAGTTGTCAAAAGCATTGGTTTCAAACCTGAGGGGCCTGGACCCCAGGTATGTTAAACTTTGAAAGCAATATTATATTTTTTTTGTGGGGGTCCTATGGGGGGGACTCAGCTTTTCTTAGTTTAGTTTTGTTTAGGTTATTGTTTAGTTTCTCAGGAACCATGTACAACATGCATTAATCTCAATTAATGACAGGAGATGCATTGGGCCAAAGTTAGCTCATTATCCTGGGCAGGTGGAGATACAAATGTTACGAAATAAAATATACGAATAATATATACAAAATGATTTAGAGCTAATAAACACGGATAACATCACAGCCACATTCTCTAACATGTAAAAATGACCACACTCACACCATTCCCTTCACACCCACTAAGAGTATACTACGTACACACACACACACACACACACACACACACACACACACACACACACACACACACACACACACACACACACACACACACACACACACACACACACACACACACACACACACACACACACACACACACACACACACACACACACACACACACACACACACAAAAGAGAATTGAATCTTTGAAACAAGTAGGGAAGGTCTCGAAGGAAAAAAGGTTGGGAACCACTTGTCTAGGGACCAATGTGCATTGAGCACAAACATGGCGAGAGAATGGGGTAACATTTGGAAATGCAGTCTAGGACTGAATTGAGGAGATGACACCAAAAATGTTGGTTGAAATCTTTTTTTTTTTTTCTTCCCTAATTCAGGATTTTCATATTTCTATATATGGGTTATCTAATGACTACTGTCTGTTTGCAATTCTAAAATATAATGTATTTTACTTTTCTTTATCTGTGTTTTTAGCCTACTATGACTTTGTTTCAAGTGGGTGGGTATGGGTCAAGTGTAAGTATAGCTTTTATTTAGATATGAACAGTGAGCCCTCTTTATGATAACTAGTTCATTCACTGCTTAAGGGAATGCAGCTCAATATACTTAAGTACATGCTGCAAACAACAAGAGACATAATCAACAAGTAGAGCTAGCTGACTTTTTTCTCACATAATTTCACAGATGACATAAAAAAAAAAAAAAATGAGTTACACTTCAAAATTGCAAATGTAGCTGGTGGGGAGAAGTGCAGCTTCTCATCTTTTAGCAGTTATATTTCCATCCACTTGGTCTCATTTGAGTGCCATTTTAAATTCATAATGTTGGTGAACGCATAGGCTACCACTTGGGACGCATACCCTACCCTGAGAGTGCAACTCCGAGGTGTAAACAGAGTAAAAATAGCCTGCTATCACAGGCTTCCCTACAGTCCCGTTATATAATGGTCCAAGCTAGGATGAATGACATCACGGGTAGTCCAGCAATCACAAACCCTATGTCCTTTACAACCAGCTGGCAATGTAAAACACAGTGTAGTAACATAATACGCAACAGTAACTGTGTATTAAACGATGAGAGTATGCAAAATAGATAGAACTATGTCTTGGTAAACACTGGACTCATTTAGTGGGCTGTGGTTAGTTGGTCTTCGTCTCTTTTCGAGTAGAGAAAACACTTCCGCGATGGTGAAACGTAGATAAAAATGAAACGACAGTCAATGTCAGCAAGAAAAGAGTTCAAAAGAAGGCGAACACGACCCAAAGGAACAATATTAAGCGGCGCATATCAGTGAAAAGCGCTTCGAAACAGTCTGCAAAGAGCAAATGTTTGAGTCGAGGTCGAGTGGCGCAGTTAGTGGAAGTACAGCGGCTGCCCGACACCAGCCCGGCGGGCGGACGCGCTCCTGGCTCGGTCACAATCCAGCCAAACCTCCGCTCTCTTTCGCCCAACTTAAACACTACTTTGCAAATACGTTCCGAAATGACAAGTACATACACACAAACCACGGATTCCCCCGCACTGTTTGGCCACTTAATAAATAGGTCAGAGGGCGAGGTAAACATTTCCCAAGGCTTTGAAGTAAACCAGAGCTTCAGCGCCACCCTGCCCAGTTCATCCTGCCATTTTTCCCCCCACCACAGCTCCAAAACTGAAAAGTGGCATGGTGAAAGCTATGACAGGTCGGTGAAAAGGGTACTGAATGAGCAGTTTTGTGTGACTTACTGTTGGGTGTAACGGGCTGCTGAGTTTGTGTCTCTCCTTGTTGCCAGGGCTCCCCTGCTCTGCTCCGGCAGGCGCTGACGGTGGAAAGCGTCTCCCCTCCTAATGATGTTTGCAGCGCACAGCTAATAGCTCTCTGCCCCCACCTCCAGAGAGAGAGAGAAAGAGAGAGAGAGAGAGAGAGAAAGAGAGAGAGGAGAGAGCGAGAGAGAGAGAGAGAGAGAGAGAGAGCGAGAGAGAGTTCAGAAATGGAGCAGTTTGTAAGATACTCATGCAAAAATATGAGGCACAGAGAACTACATGGTGAGTTCACTAACAGTGATGGGGGCGTGAGAATGAACAGTCAAGTGTAGGATTCATAGCATAGTCTGCATTCTTTAAAGTAAAGTCTGGAGTCGAGTAGGCTATAGGGCTATGTCTATATGTCTGAAACTTGTGTAGAGAGAAAGGAAACATGTGACTCAATAAAGACACATTGGTAATTGATATTCTTTAATGCTTGGAATCGTATATTAAATCAAAATGTAAGTAGCAAAGTAGCAGTGTTGATGAATATTTCAGCTGGAAAACCCAACACAAATAGGTCAGATTGTGTACTTTTTAGCAGCTTTTTGGCATTTGAACCTTGCTAGATTATTGTATTTCCATCTTCCAGTGCTGTTACACAAGTCAGAGGTACATTTTGTGTATTTTATTCCATTATTGCAGATGTAGTTGTTTTTTTTCAGACATGAATCATATGATCAGTTTCTTAAATAGCATATATTCAGCAAAAACAGAATATAAAGAATATTAGATAAGATATTCCTCAGTGATAAAATAAAAATGCTGTATGTTAATTGAGCTGTTCTGATAATCCCATTATAAAAAAAATGACAGGGGCCATTCTGCTGCATAATAAATACTCAAACTTTAAATACTATTAGCCTGTGTAGGTTTTACAGCTGGAAGCTTTGAACGCATGAATATTCCTGGTAATTTAGTGTTTTTTTAAATTCCCATCTTTACTTACTCAAGAATTAAATCAGAATATTCCATAATAGTAACAGATGAAGGACTCCTGCACACAGATTCATGTGTCACAACAACAAAATAATGGAAAACAGATGTGTAATATTGATGGCTTACCTTAGAAAAGTTAAAAAAAACTATTACAATCATCAATCATATACAATGTCATGCACAAGTATTATTTGTACTCTGTGCTATCAAAAATACACAGTTATTCAGGACTGTGAGAAAAAGCTCTCTCAGTGAAGTCATTCAGTCAAAGCAATAAGATGTAATTGACAATGTGTTTCTTTAGACTGGTGGCCGCTATCTATCTATCTATGAGTTCAACCCTGCATTTGATATAACATAGCACGTTTATTGCACATTAAACCCCTGACCTCTCTCAGAAAGCTGCTGTCAGCAGGCCAGAAGTTCATGGCAGGCATTTGACGTAGAGAGCTTGAGATCTTAGAGGGAATCAGCTCAGCTGAAGGCAATGACTGATAGTCAGCTGACAGTGACAAGGTGAAACATCTCAGCTGCTGAAAGAAAGTGTTGACACACACACACAAACTCAACCCCGAACATTAACTCAATGTACAAGAACACATGTTAATGAAAGAAGTGTATTCATGATGATGTCACATTGCTGCTGATTCATTTTGAGCTGGTAGATAGCATGTCTCACTCTGAGGCTTATATGACCCTTTTAAAAGCGTGAGAAGAGTTTTTCGTCATGATGTACGAACCCAAAACCAGACAATAAACTTTCAAATCAACTGATGAAGTCCCCAGTGTACTCCTCACCTACAGTTACAGGTTGTTTTCAATGTGGCTCTCATTGTTTGTTTGTTTGTTTTTCAACTTGACCTCTGTGACCCTTCCCAGATTTCCAATATGGCTGCCAGAATCTTTCGTCACAGGACAGTGAAACCAGACACTGACCATGAGGCGTAGAGTGCACGAGGCTGCAGAGTGACAGACGATCTGGGATGAATCCCATTCCCTGCCAGTCACTCAATAAGTGGCCTATTGTCTGCCACTCTATTGTGCCCGTGTCACATGTATGCCAAACAAAGAGTCGGCGAGGTAGCCAGGCCCGTGTGCCAGGAGGCTAATGTTACATTCATGGCCTGGATACATAGAAATAGTAAACTGGAGTAAAAGAGTGGCGAGTATTATCTAGCCAGTGGTTTGTTTGACCAAAACATGATATTAATTGCTAGAAAGCTTAGCAAGAAACATTTAGCTGGATATTACAATAAAAATCCCAAAGCAGTTAAACTAAAAATCCCTTGCTAAAAACCTTACTGAATTTGAAAATAAATTACCAATTTGTCTCCTCCCAGTCCTGTCTAAAGTGCTGGAGAGGGTTGTCTCTAAATAATTGCTACACTACTTGGAAAAAATACAACATTTTTAAACCGACAGTTTGTTTTCAGACGTCACCAAACCATTCTACAGAGTCAGCTACTTGTTTACTATTAAAAAACATACAGGACATGTATAAGGTGCAATGTTCCTGGATCTAAAAAGGCAATTGATATTGTAAATAACAACATTTTACTTTCAAAACTATACTATACTTTCAGTCTGTATATAAACCATTTAGCCAGTTATATGCCCTGGTATAGGTCTTCAGATGTACAATGACGACACCATTGTCTATGTATCAGATAAAACCTGTGGTACTGTTGCAGATAAACTTACCACAAACTAGGAAAAAGTATCAAGTTGTCTCGATGCCTCTTGTTTGACACTTAACAACAAAACAACTAAGTCAATCTGGTTCTGGTAAAAAGTAACCTGCAACAGAACCGCTAAATGTTAAAATTAAAAATTGAACAGAAGTATATGGGGATAATTTCAGATTCTCAATTAAACAAAAAACAAATAAGACATCACCAATGCCACATTTTAAGTGAATACAAGATTTGAATTATATGAAGCTAGCCTGTTGTATAAAAGCAATATCACTTAGGCTGAGAAGTTATCCTGAAAATCAGTACGACTGTGATTATGTTTTGCACTGTTTGACCTGCGCTTGACTAAAGCCGAATCACAGCTATGCTGATATTAAGCATGGCCTCTCTCCATTGATTCTTTGTAGTATAATTATAGGGATGTTTATTGTCTAGCTTTCTTAGAAAAGCATGCATAATTTGAATACACACAAGCATGTACTCGCTCCATTCTTCACTCTCTCCCTCTTTTGTCTCTGCATGTGCCTACAGGTACAGTATACACCTCCTCACTCTTACAGCGAGATGATGTAGGACTCTACATATGGAAAGCTCAGCACTTGTAAAGGACTGGAGGAAGTGACACGCCCATGTGCCAAAGCCTCAACTTGAATGACTTACACCATTCAGAGTATAATACATATAATACGTATAAGAATACATAGCTGTGTTTATGTATGTGAGTGTGTTTAATGCAGGGCTGTAGCGTGCTTAAAGAATAATAAAGCACTGCTCCCAAAGGAGGAGCAGATTTTTAAAGGGTTGGGTTACTCCCCGGAGATGCCTGTACTCTTTGTAAGAGGTGTGAACAGTATACACACTCAGCGAAAATAAAGTGCACCAGGTGTGGCCTTTTAAAGGTAGAGCCCTGAGAAATGGAGGCTGTCTGTTTAAACCTGCATACCTGTATGGCTATTTTCTGAGATTACATGACTCATATCTTAAATGTCAAGGCGATTGTATAACCTTAGGATGTAGGAAAAAGGATGTATGGAGACATACCTTGCAAAAAAATGTGCTGAAACTTTTTTTCATTTTTTAACTCTTGCTGTCTGTAACTTTACCCAGCAAAAGACATTAAACAAAATAAGACACATCCACTTAACAGACAAGTACACACAAACAAGGGATTTGACACTTCACCTTGCGTATGAATAAATAACACACTGAACTTAACGCATACACTAACTAGATGAATAATTAATCATCAGCAGCCTTTAGAAGCTATAGGGGATTTTCAGAGATTTTAATGGTCATGGACATTTCTGCTTTATTGGACAGGAGAGTAACACAATGTCTGAAGTGCATGCCACTTAACCAAGTACACTTATCTATTGAGTGTCCTGGCTCGTCCGGCATTGAATGTCTAGTGTTTTATTCATTTTGATGTGAATTTTAACATTCTCCCGTCATCCAGTACAAAAATATAAGCAGGAAAAAGAGTAGGCCACTGGATCGAGATGTCATTGCTTCACATTCCCTGCAAAATATAGTGAATACTCTCCCAGCAGAACACACACAATCATCCTGTATGCTTTGAAAGCAGCTGTCACTTCAGATTCCAAGGCTGTGAACAGGGGATGTTCTGTCTTATAGCTGCTCACTGCTCCCCCTTTTGCTCAAATGTGGAAGTGGTGACAAGTTTTGAGGCCATATACTAGACAGCATCATATCCAAGAAGAGGGAAAAGCATAACTTTATACTTTGCTTGTACCCTCAGTTGGAATATTAAATAGGTAAAGTAGGTAAAATAAGACCAGATCCCAATTGTTTGGCATAAAGGTTCAGCCCTGTCTAAAAAAATCCACTACCCCTTCATTAACTCAACCATATATTTCAATCCTATATCCACAACTGTTGGCAAACTATTTTAACCCTTATGATAAGGGTACAAAAGGTTTGCAGTTGTGTACCATTTGCCAGTTATTTAAAGTATCTAAATTGACTGCTTGCCCTAGCGTTAGCTAGGCCTATCTACTTGAACTTTTGTCTGTTACCTCATTAAGAATAGCTACATTTAAAGCATTATACAGAACTTAAAGCTATTTCGTAGGCCTACTAACTGATTCAGGCTAACTGTTTAATCAATTATTTATCTTAATTTATCATTTTAGCCATTATCTGTTAGCTACTGTTATCTTCTTTAAAACTCCAGTCTGCTTTGACATTAACCTATCCAGCCAGCTTAATCAGCCTAGTTGATCAATTTTATCAACTAGGCTTCTTGTTGCTCTTTTTAATGGTTGTATCTATTGCTACTAGCTTAGTTTCATTTTAAACAACTAGCTAACTGTGTATAGCTAGCTAGCTTTATGAAGCAATGTTAAGTTTGGATAGGCTACATTTAGCTTTATATTAACAATTAACTAATTAAGTT